TAAACTTTTTCCAGTCTGTCTATCAACTATTTATTGCTCAGTATCCCGGTCTTTGTAAGAGAAACAATTGTTAAAAGAGGATTAATTATTAAAAGTTCACCACGTTGAAGTCCTCTTTTTGAAAAATAAAAAATATATATTCTTTAAAGATTTTCCTACCTTACAATGCTCAATACTTTCTAATATGTTGAGTTCGAAGATAAACTGCACTTTATAAGCCTGGCTTCTGCTTCAAGCATCAACCTCTTGAGTCAAAGCTCAGCGGAGCATATGTTCGTCGGAAAATATTCACAAGGGATATGACGTCACGAGAACAGTGACGTGCAATAAGCGATACTCATCAAGTAACAGCTGATAATTAATAGTATTACAGGACACCGCCAAGAAAATATCCGACATTTACTGAGCAAAGACTTTTATTAATCGTAAACAAATATACGTGTTTGTCGTTATCAAGCTAATGGCATCCCTGCGCGATTATTTTTACGGTCTTAATGCTCCATAATTAACCTCAGAAAGAGTTGAATTTGCATTTAATACATCAGATAAGAGTTATATTAGTATTGAGTCACAAACTGAATCTTATGCAGCTTGAAAGTAAGCCCGGGTTTTCTTTTAATTAACATTAAGAACACTTCATTTTTTAAGGGTCCACTAGCCATCGACAACTGGTGCAATACGCCATTACCGAGTTGCCTTTTGCCTCTGTGTCAAAACTGGTCTTGCGAAACCATTCATATGAAGATGAATTCCGCATACAGATTCGTTTTCATGCAAATCAAACTTATTTTCGCTGTAAGACTGANGAGTTGAATTTACATTTAATACATCAGATAAGAGTTATATTAGTATTGAGTCACAAACTGAATCTTATGCGGCTTGAAAGTAAGCCCGGGTTTTCTTTTAATTAACATTAAGTACACTGCATTTTTTAAGAGTCCACTAGCCATCGACAACTGGTGCAATACGCCATTACCGAGTTGTCTTTTGCCTCTGTGTCAAAACTGGTCTTGCGAAACCATTCATATGAAGATGAATTCCGCATACAGATTCGTTTTCATGCAAATCAAACTTATTTTCGCTGTAAGACTGAAAGGTTTTACACGAAGACTCGTTTTGAAACAGAGGCACAAGGTAAGTCGGAAATGGCCTATTTTTCACATCTTACTCCCAGAAAGTATCAAACTGAACTGTCAATAAATTATTTTTATCAATTTTGTTATCACAGCTATTGATTTTCAGACCAAATCTTAATCAGCGAAACACACTTAAGCTATTGCTTAAACAATTTCTCAGAACAAGCGTTACAGCAGTGTACATGTTTGGCTTTTAGTTGAGAGAGTTCACAGTTTGGTCTCAGGACGGCAGGGATATTGTACACCCGATCACTTGTTATCACAAACAATACACACATACATACATGTACTTTTTGATGAGGCAGGTCTGAATATGGCAACCTTAGGGCTGGTGTGGACCTGTCATAAATTTTAACCAACCTAATATTTTACAAAGGACGAAAATCTTAAAAATATAAAAATCTGAGTTTTTAGAATTAATTAAACAAGCCTCTTTTTCAAGTAGGC